TTCCCCAATAAATTATTTTATCATTCATGGAGATAAGATCAGTAAGAAACTGCGGGACACGTAGAAACATGTCATCATCACCCTTGGAAATGTATTTAACAGAAGGAAACAAACGTAATGCCATTTCAAACCAAAGATATGTTTTCCTGCTCAAACCAACACCTGCCTCCACACCCCACTTTGCAAAAAGGATAGAACTATTACTGGTAACACGCCCCTCATTCATTGAGAGTGTAATGACATCATGATAATCTGCCACTTCCTTCAGTAGTGACTCAGAATATTCATATCCCTGTGATGGGTGCCGTGCAAGTACATACAACACCAACATGGCCCCAGTGAAGTTATTCGCCCTCCGTGCAACACCCGGGAACTGCCAGCACGTAGTCCGCTGCAGATAACGGCGTCTCCGCCTTCCATCAACATCCATAGATGGAATACCAAACACAATGAGGTAGTAAATGAAAGGGTGTTCTTCGCAAAATATAATGTGGGACATTCATTAGGTATATAATATACTTATTATCATGGTTATTGTATCATACCATTTTCTTTTTGGATTGATAATACAATGAGCGTTGTGCATAATGTGTACAATTTCCAAAAAAAAAAACAATGGTATTCTTTTGATGCGAATGAGCTGTAGATGATTGGTAAGGCGAACTAAAGAATAAATAATAAAAGACGTATGTGATGCCTTAACACACTACATAATAAAAAAGAAAAGAAATAAAAAGAGGCAATAGGAAGAAAATGGTATTATAAGAGGTTGGGAATATGTAGTGTCATGTGAAAAGAAATTAACATAATCAAATAATATACACCAGAATATTTATTATAGGATATTGAGGTAAGAAAGAGATCGAATAGAACTCTATTGATTATACGGTTATGGCGATGCGTAGAGGTATACTAACGAAAAGCAATTATGCAGACATTTTCCTCTGTAATACTTCTGTTAACGTACTCACATAGGTATGCAGATCGAAATCCCTGATTCTTTAAATACTCCACACGAAGAGCGTCAATGACGCGTTTGCAATAAAGGCCTATGAGACGTTTTTCATTATTTACAAAATCACCGCTAACAGCCCAAGATGACATGGAAGTCATGGCAGCAAACTCCTTAGCAGATACAACATATTCAGTTCCTGGCAAACGCAGTAAAGAATGAGAATTATCATTATTATCTGATAGAGATGTTAACGGGTTGAGGTGTTTTAGTTCACATCTATGGTGACAGCAGGTGGCTAACACAACTGCAATGAAGGAAGCGTTTCCAACGGTGTTGAGATCAGGGGAAGTAATGGAGGAAAGTGCAAAGTCTGTACAGGCACCGCAGAGGTGTTTGCCTAATGCCACCCAACGTTCGAGTGAAGTAGATGAAATGTCCTCCTCCTCCTGCTGCTGCTGGGGAACATTATCGTCTTGATCCTCCACTGTAGAATTACCATCAACAATAGTAGTAGTATTAGTAGTAGTAATTGTAGAAATAGTATTAGTAGAAACAACATTATTAGAGGTGTCATCATCCTTTACATCATCTCGTACACGTTTACGAATACAAGGATCACGTAATGCTTTCGCAAGATGAAGATCTTTTATATTTAAACGCAACCGCACAAGAGGTATACGGCTGCGACGAACACAGGCATCCCCCTTACGCCGGAATGTACCCATATCCACAACTACAATTCGAGGAGAAGCGGAAACTTTCCCAGGTAGTAGTACACTTTCAATATCATTCACATTTCCTGTTTCTTCTTCTTCTTTATCTACGTTAGTGGTTAAACTTTTCTTATCTTCTTTATTCATTGCGGTGGCCATAAGTGATTGCTGTAGGGCAAGTGCAAGTCCACCTTTACCGGCACCCAATTCCAAAAACCCCACAACTTCACCACTACCACTCTTTGTCTCTTCTTTTTCTCCTTCTTGTTGTTGTTGTTTAGATGTAAAGAAACCATTCATCGCAATTGCAAGACATCGAAGGAGAGCTCGGTGTTGTGGACTGTGTTTTGTGGATGGTAGGCGTGTATTCTCATTTGTGTGGGTGTTCATCATACACTGTGGCTCCTCTGAGAGAATCACCATCTGCGGTTTAATCACATTATTATAACAATCCCGCACACGATCGATGAGACTCTCAAGTGTCGCAGCGTCCAAGTGATGATGCGTAAATCGCTCTGATTCTGTGTTCTCATCACGGCAATACATTTGTCCACGAAATGCATGCAAATCCTCTTTATAGTATGGAACTGTATGAGGGAGAAAACGCAAGTCTGGGCAAACCTTTACATGATGCTGTAGTCTATTCGCATAGACGGTGTGATTAGGGTTAATAGGACACGGTACACGTACGCCTTGTTGAGATGCTATTTGCTGTTTGTGTTCTTCTTCTTTATTATTATTATTATTATTATTATTATTATTATTATTATTATTATTATTATTATCGGTCGAACTATTCCCCTCCACTTCAGTCGTTGTTTTTTCTTGTAGATCCGATAAAGAGACCGGTATATCATGTGTGTAGCAAAAACGACTGCCAATACGTTTCTCTGTTCGGCAGAATCTCTTCTTCCGTGGAAGATAAAAATCGCAGCATCTCCCATCGGGATTCACAGAAGGTGTAGCTGAAGACACGTCTGATGTCATGATAAGACTACACACTGTCTTTCCTAATAAATGTGGAAATATAATACATATATATATATAAGAAGTTTCATGTACGTATGGGATACAGTAGAAAGAGAAATGAAAGGGGAAAAAAAATTAGGAGAGAAATACAAGAGGAAAAAGTAATAAAAGAAGAAAAAAGAAAACAGGGAACTTTCACAGTAAAGGAAATCGTTATGGCTACAACTAAAAAAAATTATTCAATATATTCCATCAAGAAAAATATAATCATACCATCATCATCATAAATATATATATATATATATATATATCCTATCATACATTGTCACTCAGGACGCATCAGTAGTGCACGGAACTTAGAACGAGTGCGGCTTTTTTTAAAAATCCCTATTAGTCTCTTTTAAGTTCTCTCTGCAAAAAGGACAGTAATAATTAAAAACATCATAGTCAACACGCAGAGCAATATAAAGAACACACAAAAAAACACACATTGGGAAAAAAAGAAAAGCCGACATAAATAGAAACCATGCAAACAGATGTCGTATATATTCAAACTATTATAAGTGTAAGAAACACAAGAAAAAGAAACTATATATATATATAAACCTCTTTGTGTATACATGCACCTATATATGTATACATAAAAGAAAAAGAAAAAAAACTCGAAACAAAAAGAGAAAGAAAAAAGAATCGTGTTGAACTCCTTAGAGCAATAAAGTCCATTTTTGTTTTCATTTTTATTTTTATTTTATTTTACACCTCTGAACGCATTTGAATACGTTGTATAGATGTTGATTCCACTTCCACTGGTTCCCAAAAGGGATTTGGTTCAATCGGCACTGTACAGGTCCGCGGGGGTACACGCATGTATGCTGGTTTGTGTCGTTGTGTACATCGTATACGATTCATATCTGAAAATGTTGGAGCGGAAGAGGCGGCAGTGACGATGCCCCACGCATAAACATACCGCCAACGAATTTTAGGCTTTAATACATCACTTACAAGATTTAACATTTCCATCGCTTCCTTTTCCAGCATGAATCGTTCCAGAGTCTCTTGCATGTTAAGTTGCAGTTCAGAGAGAGCAAAGAACTCCTCCATTTCCAACTCCCCACGTTCGGTGTATTCACGATAAAGAAATTCTCCTCTTTCTCTATCTTGTCTGAACTTGGCCGCGGCTGCGCCTGTGGAATCCTGCGGCACTTCCTCTACTGCAGAAGACTCCTCTCCGCCCATTCCGTGTTTCTGCAGAAGTGAAATCCCTGCGGATTCTAATTCCGCCTTTGCCTTCAGTGCGGAGTAACCCCGAAACCATTGTTGTTTGAGGATCCGCCGTGCGTAGGCCTCGCCGTCCTCGAGTGCTGAGAGGAGCGTTGGTTCATTTCCCTCCTCGCACGATGGGGGCTCGGCCGTTGTGGTGATGGAGGGCGTGGGCGTGCCGTCCACTACCGTCTCGGTATCCTCGCGGGACATTTACTCGATACGCTCTTAGAAGGGTTAATATCTTTTTTTATTTATTTAACAGTAATAATAATAATAA